CACAGTGAGCCTTTCTTTTTTTTCCCCACGTTTATTTTTTAATTTTTTAAATTTATTTTTAAATTTATTTTTTTACACCATTGATCATTTTTAAACAATATTTGCTTCCCCCCACCTCCTCAGGTGTAGTTCCCATAGAGTTTCCTTCACCAGAGCACTCCTGCACCATCACCTCAGTCCCCTGTGCTCCTCCCTCCCTCCCTCTCACCCCGTCCCTCCTCCTCCCCTGCAGCATGTCTCTGATTTATAATTGTCCGGTTTTGCTTTGTTGTGTTTTGCACCGAGAATGGTAGAACCCTCTTGAAATCCAAGTTCCCAGGTGCCCACTAAGGGCCTGATATGTTAACTCTTTTCTACACAACTTCCCAATGCATTTTATGAGGTCAATATTCCCCTAATACCCAAAGCAGATACATAAGGTATTAAAAAACAAAACAAAATAAAAAAAAAAAACAAAACAAAAAACCAAAACCCTTCAAAATGTTAGAATTTAAAAAAAAAGAATACAGGGCCTCCATAGTGGCGCAGTGGTTTGAGCACTGTGCTGTGAACTGTCTGCAGCCTCTGCAGCTCGGGTTTGATTCCCTACGGGTCAGAGAGATTCCCACGTGGTGGAGCAGACCTCTCCTGTCTCACCCGCTGCTCCCCTCAGCAGTGTTTTCGGTGGGTCTGCCTGTTCTGCTACCTGCTCTGTCTCTGGTGAATCCTCTCATCCTCTGGCACCTCTGGCCTGTACCCCAGTTCTTGTATAAATAAATAAATCTTTAAAAAAAAGTATACAGAGAATTATATTATGGCCAAGTGGGACTAATTCCAGCCATGCAAGATTAGTTGAAAAATCAATATCCAATTAGCCTAATTTACTATATCCACAGACTAATGGAGAAAAATCAAATGATTATGTCAATTGATACAGAACAAGCATTTGACAAAATTCTGCATTTATTCATAAAAACTCTCAAAAAACAAGAATAGTTAAGTTCTCAACTTGATAAACAGCATCTACCCAAAAAACTGCAGCTAAGAGTTTTCTTAAAGGTGAAAGATGATATCTTTCCCCCTTAGATAGGGAAGAAAGAAAGGAAGTTTGCTTGCACCTCTCTTACCAGCATACCACTGGGAGTTCTAGTCTGCACAATAAGAAAAGCAAAGGAAATAAAAGGCATATATATTAAAAAGGAAGAAAACAAAACTGTCTGAATGCACAGATAATGTGATTGTCTATGTAGAAAACGCCAAAGAATCTGCCAAAAAAGGTGAGAATAAGAGGATTCGGCAAAGTCAAGGGATATAGGATCACACAAAAATTAATTGCATTTCTATATACTGATAATGCACAATGAATGAGAAAACTGGAATTAAAAGCACAATACTACTGATAATCAAACAAAATAAAATTCGGTCTATTCTCAACAAAGCATGCACAGAATCCGTATGCTGCAAATACCAAAATGCTGATGAGAGAAGTCAAAGATCTGAATGGAGAGATACACATACCGTGTTCATGGATTGGAAAACTCAATATAGTAGAGATTGAGCTACAGGTTTAAAACAATTCTTTTTTTTCCAGCAAGGTTTTTTACAAATAGAGCTCATTCCAAAATGTACATGGAGGGACAAATGTCCTTGAAAGGCTAATACAATTTTTTTAAGATTTATTTTCATTTTATTTATGCATACAAGAACTGGGGTGTAGGCCAGAGGTGGGGGGGTGAGAGGATTCACCAGACAGAATGGGGAGCAGAACAGGCAGATCTACTGAAATACACTGCTGAGGGGAGCAGCAGTCAAGACAGAAGATGTCTACTGAGCCATGTGGGTTAGCTCCCTGGCCAGGGATTGAACTCATGCCACAGTGGCTGGAGATAGCTTGATAGCACTGAGATTTTAACCCCTGTGCCACCAGGGAGGCCTGCTAATACAATTTTGTAATATAATTTTGAAGGAGAATGAAGTAGGAGGAATCACTCTAGCCAATGTTAAGACTTATTATAAATCCACAGTAATGAAAATTGTTTGGTATTCACAAGGATGGACACATAGAAGAGTAGAACAGAACAGAGAACCCAGAAATAGCCCCAATACAAATATGCCCAACCAATTTTGACAAAGGTGCAAAAGCAATGCAACTGAGAAAGACAGTTATTTTAGCAAGTAGTGTTTGAACCACCAGATATCCCTAGGCAAAAATATAAACCTAAATTTTTTCACATAAAAATTTTATACAAAAATTAATTTTAAATAAATCATGACTGTAAAGATAAAATATAAAACTATAACACATTTAGAAGGAAACATAAAATTTATGGTACCTGGGAGTAGGTGAAAATGTCTTTGACATGACACCAAAAACATGATATACATAAATGAAACAAAGACAAGCTGGATTTCATCAAAATTAGAAATTTTGGCCTGCAAAATCACTTAAGAGGATGAAAAGGCCAGTTACAGGCTGGGAAAATATCTGCAGAACACGTATCTGACAGAGAACTTGTATCTAGAATATATAAGGAATTCTTAAATTTTAATAGTAAAAAGCAAACAATTAGGAAATAAGTAAAAGGTATGAACAGACACTAAACCAAAGAGGATAGCCAGATGGCAAATAAGCATATTAAAAGATGCCCAATATCATTACCTATTAGAGAAATGCAATTAAAAACAAGGAAATATCACTACACACCTATTAGAATGGCTAAAATAAAAATACAGTGACATCCCAAATACTGGCAAAGAAAAAGAGAAATTGCATCTGTCATATATCGCCAGTGGAATGTAAAGTGGTACAGACAGTCTGGAAAAATTTGGCAGCTTCTTATAACACAAAACACACACTATCCAACCCAGCAACTGTACTCTTGGGCTTTTGTCACAGAGAAATGAAAACTTATGTTTATATTAAAAACTCTACATAAATGTTCATAGCAGTTTTATTCATAATAGGCAAAAAATTGGAAACAGCCCAAATATCCTTCAATGAGTAAATAGTTTAAACAGACTTTGCATAACCATACCAAAGCAATACAACTACTATTCAGTAATAAAAATGAATGAAATTTTGGTGTATGTTACAACTTGGGTGGGCATCAAGGAAATTATGCTGAGTGAGGAAAAGCCAATTTCAAAAGGTATGATTCCATTTACATAATATTCTTGAAAGAACAAAATTTTAGAGATGGAGAACATGTTAGTGGATGCCAGGTATTAAGTAGGGAAAGGAGGTGATTGTGACTATATTGGATAGCATGAGGAGTCTTTGTGGTGGAGGAACAGTTCATTGTGGAGCTTACTCAAATCTACAAATGATAAAATTGCATAGTAGCATATGCACAGACAGAAATGAGTGCATGTAAAACTAGTGAAATCTGAATGTCTGTGGACTGTACCAATGTCTCTATCTTGGTTGTGTAAGTTATTACAATTGGGGGAACCTGGGTGAAGAGCACATGGGATTGTTCTGTATTTTTTTTAGATTTATTTATGCATACAAGAACTGGGGTACAGGCCAGAGGTGTGGAGGGTGAGAAGATTCACCAGAGACAGAGTGGGGAACAGAACAGGCAGACTGACTGAAATACACTGCTGAGGGGAGCAGTGGGCGAGACGGGAGAGGTCTGCTGTGCCATGTGGGTTGCTCCCTGGCTGGCCGGGGATTGAACCCGTGCTACAGAGGCTGCGGATTGCCTCATAGTGCGGTGCTTAACCCCTTGCGCCACCAGGAAGGCCCCTGTTCTGTAATATTTTTTACAGACGCTGTGAATCTATAATTATTTCAAAATAAGTATAATGTGAAGTAAGTCTGAAAGACTATTTTAGAACTCACACATTTGTGTATTATTAATGTAGAACTGCATCTTTAATATGGAAAACAAACTACAAGTGTCTACATTTTTGGTTAGCCTAGCAATGCAAATGAAAACAACAATATGAGTTCATGGTAATTGCACGTGGTACATTTCCAAACCCAGACAGGTAAATCAAAAAGGGTTTGTAACATCTGTATGAGTCAGGATCCCACCAGAGAAGCAGACTAATAGAAACACACACACACACACACACACATAAATTCATTCATTCGTTCATTCAGTAGAAGCTACTGGCTTACATCATTGTGGGGCTGGCTAAGCAAATGCAAAATATGTAGGGCATGCATTTATAAGGGAAAGATCCAGGATAATCTGTCCTTTGGGCCAGGTGATCAGGAGCTTTAATTGCATCATTGAAATATCGACACAGCAACACCTAGATGAGTGTTCGATTCAATTATTGAGGGCTGTAGCCTAACCAAGTGGACATCAAAAAGCCACACAACATCAGAAACCGTTTGTGCTGCCAGATGAATAAAAGGATCTTGCGCTAGTAGCCCCCGTGGGTTTTATATTTACGGGTACCCCCAGCACAAACAACCTAAATCGGCAACAGCCGACAAGTTTTCTACAGGAGGGTCCCGCTTCAAGAACTTTCGAGTTGGCAGGGGCGAGGAGACGCTTCCGAGGGGTATCCACCGCCCGGCACCTCCCCGTCGTCCTCTCCGGCACTTCGCGGGGCCGAGGCTCCTCCCGCGAGCAGCGCGCCCAGCAGGAGCCGCGCGGAACCCACCTGGAGCCCCCCGCGGCGGGTGCGGGCGCCTCGAGGGGGCGGAGCGTCGAGGCGCGCGGCGGTCGCGACGGCGCCCAGCCCGCCAGAAGAGCGCGCGGCGGGCGGACGGCGGGGAGCCAGTCGGGTAGGGCGAGCGCGGCCGGCGGTTGCGGGGGGGGGGGGGGGGCGGCGAGCGTTAGGCGGTGGGGGAGGAAGGAAGGGGAAGAGGCGGAGCGTGGGAGCGCACAGTGTCAGGAATACAATAGTGCTCCGCGCCGCTTCAGCCGCCGCCGCCGCCGCCCAAGCCTGCCCAGCGCCGAGGCCTGACGGGCCGGGCGGGCGAGGGCCGAGGGCGGGAGCTGCCGCGCAGGGGGCGGCCCCGGCGGATCCGGCGGCCGGGGCGGGGAGCGGGGGTGGGGAGATTAGGGGGCAGGTGTGAGGGAGCGGAGAGAAGAAAGCGAGCGGCGAGGGGGGCGGTGACCACTCCTACCGGACTCGCCCGGCACATTGCCGGGCCCGAGCGAGGAGCCGGGAAGGAACCGCGGCGCCAAGGTAGGCGCCGCCGAGGTCGGACGCGGCGTGAGCGGGCTGAGGGATGGCGCGCCGGGTGGGCAGCGGGAGCGGCGGCCTCCGGGAGTCGAAGCGGGCGACGCGGAGCGCCGTGGGTCCCGGCCCAGCCTCGCCGCGCTCGGGGTCGCCCCGACTCCGCGTCGCGGTCGCCTCAGCGTCCCCGGCGCCTCCGGGCCGAGCGCGCCGGTGGGCTGAGGTGAAGCGCTCGGCCGCCCCTCGCCGGCCGGCAGCGCTGGGGGTGGGGGTGGGGGTGGGGGGCGGACGCCGGCGCTCGGCTGCCGCTCCGGGCGCTGCTCGGGCAGGAATTGAGCGCCATAACTGTCGCGGCTGTGCCCTCCGGTGCCCTCTCCCGGCGCCCCCTCCCTGCCCGTCGTCGGCCTGGGGTCGGGACGCCCGGGCTCAGCCCCTCGGCGGAGGACCTGCTCTGAGGGACGCCGGGCCGGAGGCTGGGGCAGCGAGGGCGCGCCTCGGCTGTTCGGGGGCGGGAAGAACCGAGCGCCTGGAGAGGGGGGCCGGGCGCTGCGTGGAGCGGCGAGGCCCCGGGCGAGCCGGGTGCCCCCGGAGCCGGAGCGCGGGCGCCCCGCGGGCAGACTAACTTTCCCTCCCCCTCGCGTCATTGTTCGGGCGCTGCCGGACGGCGAGCGCTGCAACTGCTGAGCGCCGCCGAGCGCCGGGCGGTCTGGTGGGTGGGAAAGCGGAAGGCTCCGCAGGTCGAATCTAACGGGGAAAAATTTCCCACCGCCGCGCACGGAAAGTTAACTTTTCTCCGTGGATCGAGTTGATTTTTATTCTCTCTGCCTTGAGGTAGTCGCTTGAATATGTCTATTCTGTACATAGCCAGACCTCTGTGGGTCTGTATCCCTCTACCTGCCGACCTACTGTCTGCCTGCTGGCTGCCTCCAGTCTTCTTCTCTGGCCTTTCGGAGTCTCTGCTTCGGAGAAGGCTGGTTTTACATTGCGCGGGCCCACCTGCGTTGATTTGTGAGCGGGAAGGAGGTGTGATCTTGAGTCAGTGACCTTAAGGGCGGTGTGTGAAGGCATGTTTAAAACTTGGTGTCGTTGTGTTGCCGTGGTACAATTGCAGTTCCCAGACATTTGCCTTGAAACTTGTTTGACCACTTGTCTGACTTTGTGAGTTGCAAGGAAATCCATGGCCTCATGTGCGCGAGTGTTTTTCTGATGTGAGGTCCGTTTATCTGTGACGCGGGGGATGATAGTCCCCACATGTCGTCCTCTGCTGTCTGATATGTAAGAAATCAAAACCGTGTTGTTGGTGATTCCAGTGGCTTGGAGGGAAAGGTGAGCTCATTCTTTCTCTTCGGCCTGGCAAAGATAACTGTCTGCTTCTCTCTAAACTTGGAAATAATTTAGGTAAGAAGTGGTTGCACAACATCTTGACTTACTTTAAGCAACCCGAAACCCACTTTTCTCCTAAATATTTAAGAGTTCTTCTCTTAAAAAACTTCCCTCCAGCCCCTTCGTGTCAGCCTGGGGAAGGGAGTTGTTTGTGGGGGAGAGAATTCGGCTTAAACAAAGCATTTGTGTTTTTATTTCACTTAATACTTTCATAGCGTCTGTAAATAATAGGAATGTGGATCTTGGTCTCTGTACCCTTTGAATAATGTAGTTCTCATGCTTTCATAGCATCTTGAGATTACTCTCTGGATAAATGAAAATAGATTTCTCTCATTCCTTTTTGTTTAGCCTGGGAGTATTCTAACTCCATAACATATCTTTTTCTCTTTCATTTAAAGTGAACTTTGAGTTTAAATACTTGAATTGTGAAAGGATAATATCTCTCTTCAAGGGGTGAAAGGAATCCATGAGGTCTTTGGCAAATACTTCTTAGTCTGAGCTACCATCATTGCCACCTTTTCTTTAACTTCTCTACAGTTTTGTTAGCTAGGGAAGAGCTCAACCCATTATTGTTGCCTTGAAGCAGTTCCTTGTGTTCTTCATCAATTCTGCAATGCTCACTGCCTCCCTCTTTACTGAGTCCTGCTGCTGTTCCTTGACAACATAGCAAATACGGTCTCACGGGTAGGATCCTGTGAATCTTGGTGACAGGGGAAAGTAGAGAAGGGCCTCCCACTCCTTCCTGAAGTATTTGGAGTATTAGGAGCCAGGAGCGACTTGGGAGCAGCCTTAGGGGTGCCTGTGATCCACCTCCTGGCCTGTAGAGGAGGTTCCCAGGAGCAGGACAGGTGATGGTGCCAGGGCTCTCATCAGAGTTGAGATGTATGGGTTAGTGAAAGTTAAAATAGAAAACAAAGGATCCTAAAGGTTTATAGGTTGGGTATGAGCCTGTCCTTTGATAATGCATGTCTCTCACCTCTCTTGTTTGTGTTCCTCCAACCATAACAACCCATTTCTTCCCTAAGCTACACAAGGCCATTTCTTCTTTTTGCCCATTACTTTGAAGTCTGGCTGGAAATAGGCGATTATTTTAGGACAAGCAGGGGAAGCAGGAGTCATTGGGTGTTTGTGAAGCCATGACATCACAGAAAGTTCTTAGAAGCCTTGATCAGGGATATAAGGATACAGAGATCAGGGCCAAAAATGAGGTTTAACATTATCATAGGACATAACACCTATCTAGTCGTGGAGCTTTTACACACACAAAAGAGCTGAGGAAGGTACGGATCATATTCTGTCTTACATGAAGAAAATCTCTCATCGGGGAATTACTTACAATGAGCTTTACTTACCTTATAGGTGATGGGTGAGCGTGACACACCCATTTGGAATCTTGGTGACAGGGGAATGGCTAAAATGGCCAGCATGAGGACATTTGAATCTTTTGATTTTTACCTGTTGTTTCCATTACAATGGCTGGGAAAATCTGAAGCATTGGTTTGCAGAATGGGGGGGGGGTAGGATGAGTGAGTCGACATGATGAACAAGTAAAGGGTGCCAGCAAGCAGCCATTATAGACCAAGTAACTATTGCTCTGGGTTTTCTGTTTTCTGGAATCTTTGCGACTCCCCCATGATTATTTTTGCCTCTTCCCTGAAGGTCTCTTCATAGACAGTAGCAGCAAAGCTCTTACCATCAGACCTGCCTCCGTGCTTGTCCTGAGGGACAGTGAGATAGAAGGATCCTGGAGAATTTGCCTAATACAGCTAAGGAAGGTAAGGAAGGACCCTATAACTAAGAAAAGGAAGGTAAGAACCCAGAGGGCAGCCTACTGTGGAAAGTAAGGGATCTGGTATGGGGAAATAGTACTAGGCCTTTGAGCAATAGAATTATCTATGTGTTTATTAATATTCTCCAAGCAGTTAATAATTTAATCTCTGCCTTATCCCAGAAGCCATGACTGAGCCTTGCTGCCCAAGGAGCTCCTTGTCCTTTGGTTTTTGCTGATAGGCAAGGAAACTTGAGCCTGGGGTGTGTTTTTTGGGATAGCTGACAAGAGAATATGGTAACAGGATGTCCAGTACACTAGACCTTGTGTGTTGCAATCTCCTGGGAAAATTATTAATCTTTGTTAGATTTCAAAAACTTATTTTGATATAATATTATAATTACAAAAAGTTGCAAGAATAGTACAAAGAACTCATGTATTCCCATTAACCAAGGTCACCAGTTGTTAACAGTTTGATCCCATTTGCTCATTCTGTTTCTTTTTCTGAGCCATTTGAAAGTAACCATTGAGAGATTAGTACTTGTCAAGGGCACCCTGTCAGGAAGGGTGACTCAGGTACAGCCACGGGTCATAGAAAAACATCGGTGGTGAGTCAGGGCCCCTTAGGCAAAGTGAAGTCTAATTCTAGCTGTGAAGCACACATTTGTAGATCACATGGAATCTCTCATGGTAGAGTAAAGGTGGTTAAGATAAGCTCCCCTTGTACTCATTCTTGTCAAGTTTGTCCCATACTATGCTAAACTTTATTAATATTGTTATGAAAATCCACCCCAAGACTCCCCAACTTTTCTATATCCGCCAACATTTTAATTTAATTCATTCAGCAAACATGTATTGAGTGCCTCTTATTTGTTAGCGTATAGGAGGTAAATTAGAACTCAACATCCAGTGGAAAGAAATAAGGAAACTTGCCATCACAGTTGGGGGAAGAGGGTTCTGCTGAAGGGGTTTACAGAGTGATGAGAACATCAGTCTGGTTAAAAACCTGAAGAGTAGATGCCTGGGAGTTGTGTGGGATGTATGTAAATGTGAAGATTCATTTTTCCTTGAGGCTTGCTGTTGTTAGTTGACAAGGTTCATGAGTTAGAGAAGCCTTTGGGTTCATACACCTGGCACAGGCTATGGTCCAACTTAGATTCTAATCCAGTGCTTGATCTTGGCCAGTTACTTCTCTGTGCCTCAGTTTCCTCATCTACCAAGCCACATTTCTGAGGTAATAATTAATTGAAGTAATAATTGCTCTGTAAACATTCATTTCATCTGCAGTATGTGGGGAAAATAGCATGGAAGGTAAGAGGTATTAAGTTGAGATCCAAGGGGGTATTTCTACAAATATCTACTTATTAATTATACTATAAGCTATAATGGAGATTATTATATGAGATAATAGAGCAGCAGTGGCCTGTTAACCATTTTCTGCGTGCTGAGTGCTTGGGCTTTCTCTGGGGTGTGAGGCTCAAAGAAGTGTGAAGCAAAGGTAACTTTCCCAAGGTCAGACAGCTTCTGTATAGGAGACCAGCAATCTGCCCTGGAGCCTGGATGATGGACAGAAATAAGCAAGGTGAGAGAGAGAGGGGATTGCTAACCAGGGGGAACAGCAGGTGTTGCAGGGGCACTGAGGTGGGAGAGAGATGTGGGAAGGATCCGTAGAGGTTTGATAGGACCTGGGGAAGAGATGAGGTAGGTAGAGGAAGATTGACAGGGCCTTATGGGACCTCGTTAGGAGCCTGTGATTTATTTCTAGGGCATTGGGAGGCTGCTAGAAGGTGTTTTTCACCTTTTCTTTTTTTTTTATAGAGGCATGTTTTTTATTTATTTATTTGTTTGTTTGTTTTGTTTATACATGCACTGGGTACAGTCAGAAGCACGGGAGGGTGAGAGAATTCACCAGAGCCAGAGCGGGGAGCAGAGCAGGCAGAAGGAGCGAAGTACACTGCCGAGGGGAGCAGCGGGCAGCAGGAGAGGTCTGCGTGCCATGTGGGACCCTCCTCCAGTGGCCGGGGAGCAGCCGGGGATGGAACCGGCGCCGCAGAGGCCGCCGGCAGCCTCGCAACCCAGTGCTCAACCACTGTGCCACCGGGCAGGCCCTTTCACCTTTTCTTATACCACAAACGAGGGTGTGTGTGTGTCTGTGTGTGTGTGTTTAATCCAGAAAAGCATATAGTGAGGTCTAAAGAAAGTCATTTCCAAGCAGGATTTACACTACAATATGACTGTTAAGTGCTTTGTTGTTGTTCCCCCTGCTCAAAATAAAGTCGTTTCTTAACGACACCTGTCTGCTTTACGCCTGTAGATCTAGCAGCCAGGAAGACACCTGTCTGCTTTATGCCTATAGATCTAGCAGCCAGGGACGCTTGGTCTCAGACATGTTAGAAACTGGGGGAAAAAAGCCATTTCCCCTTCAGTGTCCCACTTTGTGAACCAAATGTGTAGTTCTTAACCAGTTTTTACTGCCCACCATTAACATAGTTAGAAAGGGTTGTTACATGATGGTGGAAGAAGCTGATCCTACAGAATACATCTAGAAGGAGGTTTAATTAAACTCACATAGATGATGCTTTTTAAGCTGCATTAAGTGAGCTCTTTGAGCTTTCACAAGCCCTGTCAAATGGGGTTTGGGGGTAGAAATGGGAGAAAAAGTAATTCCTGAAACCTGAGTTCATCAGTGTTAGAAATGAAATTATTGAGTATATTTTTGTTTAAATGTATCATGATAAAGATGTTTTAGTGACCAAATGGAAATTTTTTGTGGGTTTTTTTTTTTTTTTTTTTTTGGTTTTTGGTGTTTGCCATCTATGATGGCAGGCAGTGTATTTGTGAGAATCTGGAGAGACAGACTTTTTTTTCAATATTTTATATATTTATTCCCATCCAGGTACTGTGGGTTTTTGTTTGACACTATTTCTTATGTGCAGAGGAAATGTCACAAAACCAGTATTCTCTTCCCATATGTACCCACCATAAACATATTTACTTTGAAGAAGCCTGTGTTGGTTGACTTTTATATTCTTCTCTCTGTCTCTCTCTTTCTCTGTCTGTCTGTCTCTCTCTCTCTCTCTTTCTTTCTCTCTCTCTGGTTTTTTTGGTCGGGAGAGAGGTAAGCTGGTTGCTGGATAATCTGGCCTTGCTCACACACGGGTGGTTGGGAGACAGGGTACTCTAGGAGGCCTTAAACTGGGGTGACTCATCTCTACTCCAGGTGGTCTCTCCTTCAGCTTTTTCTAGTCTGGACTTTTAAATATGTGGTCTCAAAGTCACAAAGCGTGGCAAGCAAGAGCAAATGCCAGTACACCTGCACTTCTCAAGTGTCCACTTAAGTCACATTTCATGTTGTCCCATCAGCCGAAGCATGGAAATGCTTCCATGGCGAAGCCCAGAGTCATTGTAGAAGGGGATCATCCAAAGGTGTGGATGCAATGGGATGCCCCCAAAATTAGGGACCTTTACTGTGATAATAAATTTAACCTTTATTCCTTTGATAAATTTTGTTAAACACTCATTTCTAAATGTAATATATTCTTGAGTCTATAATATAATTGTGCCACCTTCTCTTCCACCAAATGTGGAGCTAAGTGAGGTCTTTCTCTTGGAGAATGCTGGGGGATGGTGGGGGGCAACATTGGGGCTCTGAATTGTGAATTGCTTGACTGCTCACTTGTCTTCTGTGGCTATTATCAAAGGAGCCCTGGGTTTCCTCAACCTCCCGTTCAAGCTTTATCACAAAACAGTAGTGTACTAACTAGACTATGCTAGGTTTTGTAATTGTGCAAAAATATAGTTAGTTGGGAATTCATCACTACCTGAAAGATGAGGGAAACATTTGCAGCCTTTTCTTGTAACTGTTATGTGGGATGTAATCCTTACTTGAGCATTTTAATGAGAAAGGATTCTCTGTAGATATGTTCTATTTATTTTTTAAAGATTTATTTATTTATGCATACAAGAGCTGGGGTGCAGGCCAGAGATGCGGGGGGTGAGAGGATTCACCAGAGATAGAGTGGGGAACAGAACAGGCGGGTTGACTGAAGCACACTGCTGAGAGGAGTAGCGGGCGAGTCAGGAGAGGTCTGCTGCACCATGTGGGTTGCTCCCTGGTGGGCCTGGGATCGAACTCATGCTCCAGAGGCTGCAGATTGCTTCATAGTGTGGTGCTTAACCACTTGCGCCACCAGGGAGGCCCTGTAGATACGGTTTATTTGTTTAAGATTTTAAGATCTCCCTGTGGCTCCGGTGAAGAATCCATCATTATGCTGTGAAGCAAGTGCCCAGTGATTGGCAATTGAGGGGCATCAACCTTTGGCCTTTGTGAAGATTTTAGAAGTTAACACCTTTCGTGTAACAAATAGATGTTATAACTGACTTGTGACCAAAAATGTATGAAAACGCAATTAATTGACTCCTACCAAGCACATGTGGGAAACTGAATAGAAGGCTCACTTTGTGTATCTTTTTTTTAAAGGTTTTATTTTTGTTTGTTTATGCATACAGGAACTGGGGTGTAGGCCAGAGGTGTGGGGAGCGGGGGTGAGAGGATTCACCAGAGACAGAGTGGGGAGCAGAACAGGCAGGCTGACCGAAATCCACTGCTAAAGGGAGCAGCAGGTGAGACAGAGAGGTCTGCTGTGCCATGTGAGTCACCTCCCTGGTCAAGGATTGAACTCATGCTGCAGTGGCTGCCTATAGCTTGATAGCACTGAAACTAACCCCTATGCCACCAGGGAGGCCCCTCACTTTATACATCTTAAAGATGTGTATTTCTCCAGGTGATAGACTCTCTGCTTCCCTTCTTTCCTCCTAGAATAAAAATGAAAAATCTCTGACATTTTAAAAGTCAGTGACTTGGAAATAGTCATCAAAATTATAAATGCACATATCATTTGACCCAGCAAACACTTCCAGGAATTTATTCAGCAAATATTTGCATGTTACTTGGAGTATTGCTTATAACAGCAAAAGATTGGCAATATCCTAAGTGTCAGTCAAGACTTGGTTATACAGTAGAGCATTGTACTGATGTTGTATGATCTCTACAATGTACAAAATGAAAAAAAAGCAAGAAACAGCAGTGTATTTTGTGCTACTGTTTCTGTAAACAGTGGGGCAATAACTTATAAATTTTGACTCATATAGACACAAATATTTCTGAAAGGTTATTCATTTTTTTCTTTTATTTATTTATTTAAATTTTATTTTTATATTCCCCATACAATTACAACCGCCTTATTTTGACCCCAACCCCTCCTTCCCCCCCACCCCCCATAGAGTGTCTCTGGTTCATAGTTGTTTGTTGATTTTGATATTCTGAAAGGTATTCAAAACACTGATAGCTTTGGGGCATATATGACCCTGAGTAGAGTGTGGGAGTGTGTGTAAACTTTTATATACCTATTCCATATTATTGCCCTATTTTTAAAATTAAATACGTTTGTTTAATGTGAGATGATACCTAGTGATGGTCATGTGAACTTCTATGGACCCCAATCCAATTTTACCTGATCAAAGCTATTTAAAAGTATATCCCATTTGGGCCTCCCCGGTGGCGCAGCGGTTGAGCGCTGGGTTGCGAAGCAGCCTGCAGCCTCTGCAGCGCCGGTTCGATCCCCGGCTGCTACGCAGCCACAGGAGGAGAGTCCCACATGGCACGCAGACCTCTCCTGCCCCCAGCTGCTCCCCTCAGCAGTGTACTTCCGTCCTTCTGCCTGCTCTGCTTCCCGCTCTGGCTCTGGTGAATTCTCTCACCCTCCCGCGCTTCTGACTGTACCCAGTGCTTGTATGTATGTATAAATAAACAAACAAACAAATAAATAAAATAATATCCCATTTTCCTAGAAAGGATTCAAAATCTTGTAGTTACAAATTTTTATCTATAGTCCTGCCTGTTCCAGAATGGCATGTGAGTGAAGTCATACAATATAGCCTATTTGGGTCTCCCTTTAAATTGGTTTATCCATATTATGTGAATTAATGCTTGTTCCTTTTTATCACTGAATAATTTTCCATTGTATGGATTTACCACAGTTTGTTCACTCCCCTCTTGAAGGACAGCTTGACTGTTTTCCTGTTTCTTGATGATTATAAATAAGCTTAAAATAAGCATTAGCTTACAGTGAACATAACTTTTCCATTCATTTGGGTGAATACCTTGGGATGGGGCTGCTGAGTTTTTGTAAGAAACTGTCAAACTGTCTTCCAAAGTGATTCTACCATTTTGCATTCCCACCAACAATAAATATGAGGTGTCTGTCAAAGTCCACTTTCCTGCATATGGATGTCTAGTAGTTCAAGAACCATTTGTTGAAAAGACTTTTTCCATTAAATTGCTTTTGTTCCCATTTCAAAAATTGGACGATGCTTGTGTGGGTTTATTTCTGAACTCTGTTCTTCATTGACCTGTGTATCATTTTGCCATTACCACACTGTCTTGATAATGACAGATTTATATTAAGCCTTAAAATCAGGTAATATGAGAACTCCTGCTTTTTTCTTCTGTATCAGAATTGTAGTGGTGAGAGAGCATGTCCTTAACTTGTTCCCATCTTGGAAAGCAGTCCATTGCTCACTATTAAGTATGATGTTAATTGCAGGGTTTAAAAAAATTATATGTGTACTCTGTTGTGCTGAAAAGAGTTATCATAGCAGGCCTGAGGCTGCTATCTTTAGAAGGCTTGCTTGTAAAGTTGGCCTTTGGTTGGTGACTGAGAAATTGGTGTTTCAGTCATTTTGAAAATAAAATATTCTTCTTTCATTTATTCCTTTTCTAATGCTCTCCATTTCTTTATGCTAATCCAAGTTCCCACCTTAATCATAATTTTTGTGCCTGAAGAATTTTTCTTTAACATATTTTTTATGCTAGTTCTGTTGTTAGTAAAGTCTTTCTTTTTGTTTGCTTGAGAAAGTCTTCATTTTTTTCATTCACCTTTGAAGGACATTTTTGTGGCATATGGAATTCTGAATTTATAATTACTCTTCTTTCCACATATTTCTTCACTGATTTCCTTGCTTTCATGGTTTCTGGTAAGTCCCCTGTAATTTTTATTCTTCTTTCTCTATAATTAATACATCTTTTTTCCTCTGACTGCTTTCAAGCTCTTTGTCTTTGCATAGATGTGGCTTTTTAATATTTTTTCATATTCATGCTGCTTGGCGTTCTCTAGGCTTCTTGTATCTGGTTTTGTAAGTTCTCAGCCATTATTTCTTAAAATAATTCCATGTCCCAATTTTTTTTCTCCTGGCGTTCCAATTACAAGTATATTAATGCTGTTTGATACTGTCCCACAGGTCTTGAACGCTATGTTCTATTTTTTCGTTCTTTTATCTTTTTATTTTAAGTTTTGTTGACCTGATCTGTAAACTTGGATCTTCATGCTC